CCTCCCGCCCCGTCCATCCCCGCCGCGTCGCGGCTGCTAGGAGACACCCGCTACCGTAATCCTCCGAGCGCCCAGCCGTAGTGCTGCTAATAGCCGCCCCTCAACGGCGCGCCGGTTTTTTGGCCAGGCAAGCGAGGGTGGGAACAGGAGCTCTGCAGAGCACTCCTCCCCAAGCCACAAATCAGCTGGAAAGTAAAGGAAACAGGCGTTAAATAACCCCCGGGGAAGCGGGAGGATGGTTGGCCTTGGGACACCGCAGCGCGGGGTTTTGACGCACAGAAACTCAGAGGCAATAAGCGTCAGCGGACAGTGCTGGTCCAGGGGGGGCGTTGAGAAGAGGTTGTGCAAAAATGCTTCACAGTCATGTCGCTTTGGTCAAGCGCATATTTTTTTTTACTCCGTTCCCCGAGTCGCAAGCTTCCCCAGGTTGAAAAAAAAAAAATAGAAAAAAAGACCTAATTTAGTCATCTAATGAGTCAAAAATGCATGTAGAATAAGAGTAAAGGCTGGTTCATCCATCATTTAGGAGAAGGTAGGAGCATTAATTAGGTCATAAAAAAAATAAAAATACTTGTGACTAGAGGACGGAGCGTGGCAGAACAGCCCAGGTGGGAAAGCGGCAGAACAGGGAGGCGGCAGCAAACTCACCCCCCTCATCCCTCGCAGAGATGGGCGCAGACGCGTTAGGACAGCGGGGCCGCATACCCGGGACCTGCTCTGTGCACAGCAGGTTTGGGGCTCTCACTTGTTGTAGGCGGGAGTGGGAAAGGCAGTGCCGGACGGGAACGCCAACGCGCTCTGCCCTGCGGAGATCTCAGCGCTGCCGGTGCAGTGGTTTCAAGTTTGGTACGTGCAAAATGAACGTGCTGTGCGGAGCTGGCGGCCCTATGGGCACCCCAAACCGCCATCCCACGCACGTCCTCCCCATGGGATTTTAATCCAAGTCCTTGGCAGAGCAAGCAGAGAAGAGGAGGGCTCCAGCCTCAGCCATTCTTCTCTGGTGCGGGGTTGTTTTCCTGCCAGAGAGCTACTCACAACAAATCCACCCCTCTTCACCAGTTCCAAACCCAGCTGCAGGCTACCCTGTGGGCTTGCTTAATTAAATCAGAGCTTGGAGCCCCCCTCTGAGGAGATCGCAGCCCCTCCCAGAGATGCATTTGACTCCCTGTGCACAGAAATATTCCTCTCACAGCAGTATCTAGAAAATAAGCTTTACTTGCAAAATGGTCCATTTTTGGTAGCAGCACCCACCATCGAGAACCTGCTGTCCTGGTGCAAGAGAAGTACCCAACGTCCCCAATCTCACCTACCTCCGGGAGGGCACAGGCACCTCTCCCCGGGGGACGCTCCCTCCTGTCCCCCTCCCCACGCTTGCAGGGACATGCAAGCACCCCAGCAAGGCAACACCACCAAAACCAGCCCGGAGACCCCCACAAAACCCCAATTACCTCCCTGCCCTCCACTCCCAGGCTTCATAGAGACCATAAGCCCCACTGCCACAAGCCCGAGCCAGGGAGAACAGGAGGACTGGGAGCACATCCCACGCCACCAGCTCCTCTCAGATAAACCCCAGAGTGATTTTTCCCCCCCCCCCACCTGTGTGTGAACACAGAGAGCTGAACTGGCACCCGAGGGTATTTGCTAGAGGTAAATATTGACATGAAGGAGCTCAGCAAAGCGCAGCCCAGCAGCTCAGATAGCAAGCTGAATATATATATATATATATATTTTTTTTTTTTTTTTCCATCCCTTCTACTCTCCCACATAGTCCTCCCACCTTATGGCTCTGCTGTGCTGCAACTCAGCCCTTTTATTGGAAACCTGTGCTCCTTCTCCAGCTGAAAGCATTTCCCTGCTGCAAGAGCTCAGGTGGTTCTGCCTGTCCCGGGAGCCCTCCCCGTGGTCAGAGCGATGGGGATTAGCAATACATTCCTGAGATGTGTAAGATTCATTTGAAGATTAAAGCTGCAGAGGCAAATCAGCTAAAACAAACCTAATGTTTTCCTGGCTTTAACCTGTTCTGGGGCGCACAAAACCCGGGAAAGATGAAGACACCCTGGGAACAGGCACGGAGCTGCAGTCCTGTATCTGGGGGGGGGGGTTGCACTGGGAAGAACTGGATGTGATGGGAAGTGTACTGTTTTTCCAAGGCCTGAAGACACCTTCAGCTGCTCGCTGGTGGAAGGAGGAGCCCAGGCCATCGCTGAGGGTGGGCACATGTCTGGGTTATTTTTCGCTTGCGCAGGTATTTAAAGAAAAAAAGCCCCTTTTCTTTAAAGTCCCGAAGTTTTGGAATAAACTGCCTGGGGGGCAGCAAGTAAATCCTTCTTCTTGCAGGGGTGCTTAAAGCAGCACAAGCACAGAAGGCATATTGAGCACTCTGAGAAGGAAGCAGTGACTTCGATGGCAAAATACTTCTTGCTTCCCAAGCACAACACCGCTATCCTATAGTACATTTCTCCCCGTCCATAATTTTTAAATGTTTTGATAGCCTAAAGGTTGTTCGTGAGGGTTTCATCCCTCTGCAGTGGGATGCGGGGATGGGAGTGAGCACGTTTCGCAGCGCCGCCGACTTTGTGTGATGCTGCAGGGTACAGAGAGAGGGGGCAAAGCAGGGAAGCAGAAGTATGAGGTGCTTTATAGAACCACAGAATGGTTTGGGTTGGAAGGGACCTTGAAGACCATCCAGTGCCACCCCCTGCCCTGGGCAGGGACACCTCCCACCAGCCCAGGTTGCTCCAAGCCCCGTCCAACCTGGCCTTGAACCCCTCCAGGGATGGGGCAGCCACAGCTTCTCGGGGCAACCTGCCCCAGGGGATCACCGCCCGCACAGGGAAACATTTCTTCCTCATATCTCATCTAAATCTCCCCTCTTCCAGTTTGAAGCCATTCCCCCTCATCCCATCCCTCCATGCCCTTGTAAAAAGTCCCTCCCCAGCTCTGCTGGAGCCCCTTTAGGCACTGGAAGGGGCTCTGAGGTCTCCCCTTTTTGGCCTTCTCTTCTCCAGGCTGAACCCCCCCAACTCTCTCACCCTGCAGTAGCTTGTCACCTTGGCTGTTGTGGCTGGCTCACACGCTGCCTCTGAAGGGCAGGGAAGCCTGAGCATCACCGCCCTTACGTCACGAGGCACTGCAGGTGTTCTTATGAACAGTTGTGATGTTTTTTTTTATTTCAGAAGCACCAAAATGAGGGAGCGCCCAGCTGAGCTGGGGAACCGCAGGCAGGTAGATATGTAGGGAGGAAAACCAGTGCTGTCTTCCTCTGGGAACGCGGAGGGGAAGGGTTGGGAGCCAGGATGCCCACAGAGCTGGTGGCAGAGATGCCTGGCAGCTCTCCGAGGAGAAACTCAAAGCAGCCCTCCCGCTTTGATGGATGCTGCTGTAGCACTGCCGGTGGCATGGCTTGCTCACATTCCAGAAGAAGTGAAGGCACCTGGAAGACCTCTTCCTCCTCCCTGCTCCTCTCCGCTTAAGAGGCCACCGGGCGCCGAATAGCGAAGAACTTGCCCGGTATCGCCCTCCTCTCTATCTCGAGCCATAGGGAGAACAAATCCGTCTCCTCGTACTCGACGGCGAGCTGGAAGGTGAAGCTCTGCAGCAGGGTGGTGAGGAAAAGGAAGAGCTCGATGCGGGCCAGCGCCTCTCCGGGGCACATGCGCTTCCCTGGGGACACAGAAAGGGGAGGGTGAGCACGGGGCTGATGGCTTCATCCAGAGTTTGGGGGGATAAAAGAGCATAAAAGGATAGCAAGAGATAAGGGTATAGCTTTGGCGCCAGGCGATATTCGTGGCGGCGGTCCCAGGAGCGGAGCCGGTGCGGGCAGGGCGCTGGCAGAGGTGGCGTATGGGGATCGAGCACTGACCTGCTGAGAAAGCCATGAAGGCTTCGCGCTTCCTGAACTCGCCCTTCTCATCCAAGAAGTGGTGCGGGTCGACTTCTTTGGGGTTGTCCCACTGGGTTGGATCCGTATGCACGGAAGAAAATACCGGAATAACAACTGTGCCCTGTGGGAGAGGGACGGGGCAGGGGAGGGACATCAGCACCGTGCCATAGGGCTCTACTGAGGTGGATGAGCGTGAGGAACATCTTGGGGGGTATGGGCGGAGGCCGGGTGCACACCACAATGCCCACCCAGATGCCGGGGATGCAGCCCGGAGTGATGGCTCTGTGCCAGGCAGAGATGACTAACATGGGGCTCCACTGTCCCCATGGTCCTGCCGGTCTCTGTGCAGCTCACGAGACAGAAATTATTGAGTTATTCCCATTGATTTGCATTAAAACCCCTCTCACTGCTCAAAGTCCAAAGGAGGGAAGTGTTCCTTCAAGGTGGGTGCCATACTAAACGCTTGTAGTCAAACGCGGGGCTGGTGGCCGTCCCTGGCTCTGCCAAGGAGATGGGGACTGGCTCGGCCACATGCCAGGGCGAGCGCGGGCTCTCAGCCCCAACAGCCCTGCACATCTCCTGGGTGGAAAGAGGAGTTCTCCAGGACAGGCAAGGGACACGAGGGTGTGGGCAGAACTGGCAGCAGCATCCGCGTCCCTCTACTCACAGAATCCCAGCATCCCAGACTGGTGAGGGTGGGAAGGTCCCTCTGGAGCTCCCCCAGTGCCACCCCCTGCCAGAGCAGGGGCCCCCCCAGCAGGGGCACAGGACGGCGTCCAGGCGGGTTTGGGATGGCTCCAGAGGGGGAGACTCCCCCACCTCTCTGGGCAGCCTGTGCCACTGCTCTGCCACCCTCACAGCAGAGAAGGCCCTCCTCAGGTGGAGATGGAACTTCCTATGGTCACGTTTGTGCCCATTCCCTCTTGTCCTGTCACTGGGCACCACTGGAAACAGACTGTTCCCATCCCCCTGGCACCCTCCCTTTAAGGATTGATAAGCATTGATGAGATCCCCCCTCAGTCTTCTCTTCTCCAGGCTGAACAGCCCCAAGTCCCTCAGCCTTTCCACATCAGAAAGATGCTCCAGTCCCCTCATCATCTTTGTAGCACTTTGCTGGACCCTCCTCTGCTAAAAGGTTATCACCATCTCCCCCCACGAGGATTGGGAAAGACCCAGGACCTTCAGGAGTGAGCAAACAGTCCAGGGGCAAAGGCGAATCTCATTCGAGCCCCTCCTCCCCTCGGGGACATGGAGACTCCAGGGCCACGACGTCTACCTTGGGGATGGTGTGGCCTCTGAACACCACGTCCTGTGTCGTCATCCGCGGGAAGTTCTCGATGCGGGTCTTGTGGTAGCGCTGCATCTCATGGATTACCGCGTTGGTGTACGGCATCCTCAGCTTGTCCTCCGTGCTGGGAGCACGGTCGGTGCCCACCACCGCGTCGATCTCCTCCTGGACCTTGGCTGGGGAAAAGGCAGGTATGGAGCTGCAGTGCTTGCTGTGCAGAACCCCCCATAATTTCTTCCTGGCCTCCCTGGGCGCCTGTCCTAGAGCCAAAGGATGATCTAGTAGAGAGGGAGCAACCCGGCATAACCCCTCGGAGAGACCAGAAATAGGATCTCTGTCTGCATACCTGCCCGAATCAGGCAGGTCCAAATCATCCTTCATAGGCCGGTCCAGGGCCATCTGCACAGGCAGGGATGGAGAAAAGGCAGCGGGTACCCGGATCCTCTGGCCTGTGTGTATCTCTGTCTGATGGCTCTCACCCTGGCGTGACCCATGCAGGATGATTTTGTCTCCCCCCAACCAGGACATTTCGGGGCTAGGACTCTCTGTCTGCGCCTTTGCTGCACCGTGACCTCCTCAGGCACAGGGAACAGTCACACTCTGCTGCCCTTACCTTGAATATGGGGGTATTTTGCCAAGATCAAGAGGGAGAAGACCAGGGAGTTGCTAGTAGTCACTGTCCCAGCACCAAAGAGGTTGAATACCGACATGACCAAGTCTTCGTTGCTGTACATGTTCTCCGGGCTGCTCTTCTCCTGCAAGGACACGGTAGGGAGGGGATTCAGTACCATCTGGGTGACTTTCCAGGCTGCAGCCAGGTCTGGAGGGCAGCTCTCGCCCCGCTTCCCACCACCTCTACCTTCTCTGCTTTCATAAGGAAACAGTCGATGTAGTCCCGGGGGCAGCTGGGATCCAGTGTCAGCTTGTGAAGCTCTACTCTTTCTCGGATGTAGTCCTTCAGCTTCTCACACTCAGCCAGGACTTTCCTGTGTGGCCCCGGGAGGTGGTGCATGATGTTGGGGAAGGTGTTGTAGACCTGCAGATGGAGGAGGCATAGAAGGGCTCAGGTGCCTGGGTGAAACCTCCCGCTCCTTCCCTTGAAGCCATGCTGTCCCATCAAAGCCAAGGGGTTACCCAAAGCCAAGGAGCATCCCTTGACCACCCGAGCATGTCAGACATGAGGCTGCTGAGCACAGCAAGGACACCTACCATGGCGATGGGGGAGAGGAAGAAGCTGATGTAATTCCCGATCACGTTCAGCAGCTCCAGAAAGGCCGTGTCGCTGTAGCTGTAACGGCTCCCGAAGACAACGGAGCAGATCACGTTGGCAACTGCGTGTCTGAACATTGTCATTGGCTCAAAGGCATCTCCTGCAGCCGCAGAAGAGGCGAGAAAGACATCAGAAAGAAAACAGTTATTTATCTGCTTTGAGACAGAAAACGCCCTTCCTCCCCCTTCGAGCCCCTGTCCTTTGAACTCTGAGCCCTGGTTGAATCTGCCGGGTCTAACAGCCAGAGCGAAGAGCCCTCCTGCGCTGTGGGCGCCGACATCTGCCTCCCTGCTCCTAAACCCCTCCCCAGAGGTTGGGATTGAGGGAAGCAGAGGCATCTCCAGGTGCTTTGGGCTGCTGCTGATGTGCCCTGGGCATCTGGGGGGCTGCAGAGCATCTCCCTGCAGTGACCGACCCCATGCCAGTACCGCACATCAGGGGCAGAGGAGCCAGCGTACGACCGAGCCTCCATCTCCTCTTACATTCAGGAAGCCCCAGAAGAGGCGGTGGCACTGGCAGCAGCTCAGTTTTGTCAGAGAGGAGGACATCACCCTCATAACCTCTGTGTCATCACAGTACTATGTTTTTCTTGCCTTCTCAATGCCATGCGCTTGAGTTTCCTATTTTCTGTTCTTTGGGCATGAAATGTTCCTCGGTGGTCACCCACCACGTGCACCAGTTCAGGAACAGGATCTCCCACCCTGGCCTTAAAGCCACGACTGTGTCACAGCCCTGCAGCTCTCTCTGGGTGGGATGGGGCTGGGTCGGAGCCCTCTCTCCGCAAGGATCATCCACACCAGCCATTGCAAACAGCTTTGGGGACCACTCGTGTCCCGTGAGGCTGCTGTGTGTCCTCCATCTGCCACAGGGGCCGGGGTGGACAGGGCTCACGTCACCTTTGAGTTTTGCCAGCAGCTCCACCAGGTGCTGGGCCTCCTGCTGCACCCGCTGTGACATGGAGCTCTTCCCCATCCCGAAGTCCCGCAGGGTGCTGAGCGTGAACCTCCGCAGCTCCCGCCACTTCTTCTCATTGTTGGAGACAAAACCTGGAGGGAGGCGGTGGAGATCACTCATCTGCCCGCCCCTCCGCTCCTCCCCAGGAACAGGGTCCCTGTGTTGAGCCCAGCTGAGGAGCAGTAGGACAATCAGCCAGGGAACGACGCTGGTGTGGGCACAGCACCCTTGAAAGGCTGAGGATCCCTACAGAAACTCAGAACAAAGCTGGAACTGGCTAACTGGGATTAATACTGTCCTGGGACAACAGTTGGAGGGACTTGCAAGGTGGGAAATGGGTGTTTGAGGTCTTGGGTGTTGAGTCCTTCACTAGACCAGCATGGCCAGCTGCAGTGGGGGACTTTCTGCTCACCCAGAGACCAATAGTGTCTAGAAGAAATCCGCATGCCTACCGTAGTCTTTCGACAGCTGCACCAGAAGAGGTATTTCAGGTCGCCCTCCAAACTCCTCGGAGTGGCCCAGCAGAGCATCCTTCACCACCTCGTACCCACAGAGCACCACCACCGGCTTCAGCCCCAGCCAGACGGTGAAGATGGGGCCATACGCGCTGCTGAGCTGGGGGAGGACAGGAGAGCTGTGGTGAATGAAGGTCCTGCACCCCAGCTATTCCTTTCATTTTAATTTAGGTCTCGTGGTCACAACACCGGCAAACGCACGGGCAGGGAGGAGAGGCACCTCCCTGGAAGCCACCATCCTCGCCCCATTCCACCCCAGCCCTGGCCCCGGGGGGGTCTGATCCCGCTGCTGCTTTGGGATTTCAAAGCATCATCTCCAGGATGCAGCTCTGGATGGCGGCAGTGCCGCAGCACCACAGGTCCCTTACAGGAGGAGAAACACTTCAAGAACAGTAATGATCATGCTCCCAGTAGAAGGCGTTTAGGAAATTCTGGCAGAGCAAGACACGAGGGAAGGAAAAAGGGAAAAGAAATGTGGGAAAAGAGTCACTTGCACAACTCCCACTTTATTTTGACGTGGGACATTCCCACTTTCTCTCCTGCTGCCCTGCCAGGGCTGGGAGAGGGTCCGGCACCGCCAGCTCCTCTCTTACCTTCTCGTAGGTCTTGTAGAGGGGCAGGACGTCCTTTTGCCATAGGTTGCCCAGAATGGGCCACGGGGCCGGTCCCGGAGGCAACTGGCTTCTCTTTCTGTCCATTCTCCAGACCAGGAACCACAGGATGGAGAGGAAAAGGAGGATAACAAGCACTCCGGCTGATCCAGCATCCATCCTCCCCCCGAGCAGTGAAAAAATCAAGCAATTCCCTCTCCAGGGAGAAAATCACAACCCGGCAGTGAGCAGAGAGGAGCCGAAACCTGCTGCCTCTGCCCTTCCTTGTGCTCTATATAAGCACAGCCCTTCCCACATCCCCGGGGTCGTCTGTGGCGCGTCCCCCCGCCTCTCCCCGGGCGGTCAGTGACACGGAAATGCCGGTTTCTCCCGGTCAAGCGCATACCTGGCCCCACCGTGTTGTAACACTGATCTCAAAGGGCTGACACGGGGCGGCGGAAGCATTGCAAAACCCCGCAGACCTGCCGGGGGTGGGAGGAGGTGGGGGGAGAGGGGCTCTCCCCTCCCCACGTTGCTGAGTCACTTTTTGCTCAGTGCTCCCTTTTGGTGGCATGTGATGGAAGAAGATGTCACCGTCCTGGAAAAACCTTGCGTGTCACTGTCAGGTCGTTGATCATTTTGTCCCTGCCTCGCTTACCGGTGCAGTGACCTCAGAGGGGATGTTCTTGTAAACGGAGGGAACCCGGGAGGAGGGCACGCGTGGCTGGTCAGGTACCTGTTGGGTTTAGGTTGGCTGACAATTCTCCATCAAACTCCTTTCTGATGGTAACTGGGTCAGTCCTGGGAAAAAAACAACAATTGTTTTCTGAAATATTTTGGGATTCCACTTGGGTTTTGGAGGAAGGTCAACCCAAGGTGTTGCAGTTGTTGCAGGAGTGGGGTTAACTCTTTCCTGGGTTCCTCCGCCCTCCTCAGGGTTCCTCCGATGCTTTTGAGCATCTCGCTCTGGACAGAAGCGCATCTGGCTGCACGCGAGCACATCTGGCGCTGGCTCAGCCGCCACACCTCTGGTGGAGAGCGCTCGCAGCCCTCGGCGGAGCGAGCTGGGCGCAAGCCAGTTCCCAGCGAAGGGTGCGATTTCTCCTGGAGGACAGGGCTGGAGGAAAAGAGGGAGGAGTTTTGATGTCACGCTGGTCTCTGCAGAGGAAGGAGACCCTCAGCAGAGGGCATTGAGTGATGCTCCTCGAGAGGAGCTGGAATTATAACACTCACCCAGAGCAGAGCAAGGGAGCATCCCCCGGCATCCAGCCGCAGGAGGAACGGCAGAGCCAGGACTGTGTTTGGGCAGGGCTGGTGGGAACAGCCAGGACTTCTGCCCCTGCAGCCTTTTTTGGCCACGTAGCAGGGCGGTGTGCAGGTGTCAGGCCGAGGATGCTCAACGCCGCTTGCTGGGCTCATCCCAGCCAGGCTCCGGGGGATGCTCACCGCGGCCGCGGTGTGATTCATTACACCAAATCTCTCTTAAATCACCGAAAAGCAACTGGCAGTGAACCTTCCACAGCCCTGCGACTGCTCCTTTTCAATATTTCAATTTTTTCCCCTCTGCCCCAAACTGGCAGGGGCTGGAGGGGGCTCCACCAGCACCCCAAGCGCGCTCGGCAAAAGGGGCTTTGGGGGCAGAGGGTGGTGGCAGCTGGAGGGGCAGCCCCACGGTGATGCCAGGAGCCCCATAGCTGAGACCCACTGGGGCTGAGGCCAGGAGGTCACCGTGACTCACTTGTTTACCCCGTCCCACCCTGTCCCGTCCCTGCTCTTCCCACGGATTGCTCTCAATTCTTGGCTCGGGCGCCCGCAAGTGGAGAACTTTGCTCGGGGAGGTGATGTAGGGACTGGGATTTTGGCAGGGGGGTGAACAGCCTCTCGGTGACTGACACCGTTTTTTCCATGGCAGCCAAACAATACAAAGGAATCGCTCGAACAACAGGAAAAGAAACAGCCGTGGGGATTAATTTGAGCTTCAAAGTTTAAATCCGATGGAAAATTCCCTCTCCTGCGGGCGAGCTCAGACAGAGCCCGTGGCCGCCTGCCTGGACACCGTTTGAGTGCGACACTTGTTCATTGCTACAGCAGGTTTTTTTGAAAGTTGAATGTCTGTAATGCAACAAAAAACCCCATTATTTTATCCCATTTTATTAATGAAATAAAGAAAACAAACAAATCACCCTGGGCATTAGGAGTGCGTGAGTCCAAGTAACCAGACAAGCAGTTTAGCAAGAAATAACACCCAGAGATCATGAAACTTTGCATTTGTCTTCTCAAACTGCTTGATGAAACTTTGCTTTAAGTTTCCCTTCATAATCTATAGAATAAATTAAACCAAAAGAGCCGCAATGTAGCGTCCCAATAGTATATCTCGTCAAGTGTGCAGGAAAAAAGGGAGAGACAGAATTTGTCGCCTAAACTTTTGGCAGCTGAATGCCATTTTGCCTGAAGGAATCTCAGGAGAGAAGAGCACAGTTGGGCTTTGGTGCAGCCACTTCGGCATTTTGGGGGGCTGGGACCTAAAGTGAGGCCAAACCGCTTCATATGGACCTGAAAGCACTGGTACTTTCTCCATCTTTCTACCGATTCTCTTAGGAGGACTCTTGGGGAGCAGGGGTCTGTAGAGAAGCAGGCTGCGGCAAGGCTTTGGGATCCCTTCAGGATCAGTCGGTGAGACCTTTCTGCCCCCAAATCTCAAATAGTAGGGATGGGTCAGCAAAAACCCACATGGATGGGCCCATGTGACATGACCAAAAAAAAAAGGAGAATATTTTGACTTCTAAAAAAAAATTTAAAAATCCATTTAGAGATTGCCAGGTCCTTTGGATTTTAATTCAAAGTCATGGTTTGGGACAAAACTCATGCGGACGTGATATGTAAAAACAATTGAGGAGCAAACCAGCTCACTCTGGCCCCCGCATCGTCTGGTCCCAGCCGTGCCCAGTCCTGGAAGCAGAATGGACCTCAGCTCCTGCCTGCCATACTGCAGCTTTGCAAGGGGACGGGGAAAAGCATCGCTCAATTAAATTGTCATGTTGCTGGATCAGCCCCAGGATATATCCGCGGGGTAGATTCAAGGAATTAGAAGAAATGATGCTCATCGGGTATTTTTCAGTGTAGACGTCTATTTGGAAAAGCTGCAAGGCAAACACGGCAGTGCAGAAGCGAGAGACGATGACTCCCGTTAAATAAAGAAGTCAATAAACTGTCTGGGTTATTAGATCTAGGAAGATCTGCTGGAGGCAATCATAACGGTTGTTCCTGTCTCACAGCTTGTGCTTCTCTGCAGTCGGTATCAGAACACCGTGGGAAGGACATCCCACGTCAAGGGAGGAGGATGGGGAGCAGAACCACGGCACAGGTCTGGCTGGGACTCGCAGCCGCAGAAACACCGAGTCTCTGAGGCTGGAGGCACCACTGGAGCTCATCTGCCCCAACCCCCTGTTCCAGCGAGGCCAGCGGGAGGAGGCTGCTCCAGGCCATGTCTAGCTGGGCTTTGCATGTCTCCAAGGATGGAGACTCCACAACCCCTCTGAGCAACCTCTTCCCATGTCCACCCTCACAGTGAAATAATATTTTCTTATGTTTAAGGAGAACTTCCTATATTTCAGTTTGTGCCCATCGCCTCTTGTCACTTGGCACCTCAGAGGAGAGTCTGGCCCTGCCTCCTTTACTCCTCTCTATCAAGGGTTTATCCACATGGATAAGATCTTCTAGAGCCATCTCCTCTCCAGGCTGAACCATCCCAGCTCTCTCAGCCTCTCCTCATTGGAGAGATGGTCCAGGCCCTCAATCTTTTCTGAACTTGCTTCAGCACGTCCATGTCTCTCTCGTACTGGGGAGCCCAATGTGGGACACGACACCCAGATGTGTTTGATAGGATGAGGGGGAATAGCTTCAATCTGGAAGAAGGGAGATTTAGATGAGATATGAGGAAGAAATGTTTCCCTGTGTGGGTGGTGAGCCCCTCAGGCAGGTTGCCCCGAGAAGCTGTGTCTGCCCCATCCCTGGAGGTGATCAATGCCAGGTTGGACAGTGCTGGGAGCAACCAGGGCTGGTGGGAGGGGTCCCTGCCCATGATGAGAAGGGGGGTGGGACTGGATGGTCTTCAAGGTCCCTTCCAACCCAAACCATTCTGTGATTCTATGATTCTGTGAACTTGCTGAGGGTGCGCCCTGCCCCATCATCTAGGTCATTAATGAAGGTGTCAAACAACATCTCTGGAGGCTTCTGGTCCCCCGACTTTCAAACACAGCCTTCGTGGCAGCTCTGCTGGTTAGCTGTTACACCGTGCATGGTTTCATCCTGGGCCTTGTGGAGCCCACCGTACCTCCATAACCTCTTTCTCACGCCCTTCACGTTGAAGCCATTTTTCAAGGCTGATGCCCAGATCCTGCTTTGGGTACAAACCAAATCTGCACCCGCGGGTTGCCCTGATCTCGTGCATTGCTTCTGCTCTGCTGGCTTAGAGTAAGCTGTGGCACTACACTAAGGCAATTAATATTATCCGAATGCAATTTCCCCCAAAGCCGGGGCTCTCCGGAGGTGCTCCACTCACCCCGGGGCCTCGACCACGCAAAACGAAGAATACATAAAAGTAGCTGCAAACCATTTTAATCTCTCCCCCTTTCCTCCCTGCAAGCACAGGGGTGAGACAGCCCCGGCGGCCGACTGCTGCGTAACCCGGGCCAGCGAATGACTAATCTGGGAGTATTTTTGGTTGCTCTTAATAATGCAGCAGTACTCGCTGCTATGGAGTCTGGCCGTAATTATAGGGCGAGTGTCATTTGTCATCGTCGTTATCTCTTCTCACAGGGTTGTAGCTCTATGGCAGAGGGGTACTGGAGTCCCTTTCATGCTCCTGGGGGGTCGTTTCTGGGGTTTGCTATGGCATCCCTCAAGAAATTCCAATTTGACACCACTGACCAACCCAGACCGGCTCTGGTGTGTAGGAAGGGTATGGTTTGATTTGGCTCAATAATAAAAATGTGTTTTCTTTGGTCCCAGGGCTTTCTCCATTGTGAGGCAGGCAAAGCCATGGAGCATGTCCCCTTCACCCGCTTGCCATCCTCGTGCTCTTGGTCCTCACCTGTGTGTCTCAGCTACGGTCCTCGGCTGAGCCACCGGCTGGTGGCTGCTCGTTTGAGATGGACAGCATCAGCGTGTTGTGGTCTTAG